CTGGAATGATTTAAGGTCTTTTCTTTCAAGCCTTTGATTAAGCTTACTGGATTTCGCCAATGGTCTTGGTCTCAATCTGATGACTCTTTTAGAATAAGATTATTTTTTTGGGCGCCATGGGAATGTGAATATAGCTTCCATTGGGTGATTTTAATGGAGAGAATATGTACGCGTAGTAAATACAAAAAAAAAACTATACGATTTTGAAAATTAAAATGCAAACATTAATCGGTATTGCAAGAAAATTACGATAACTTACACCTCCATCTTCCTTGCCCGGATTTAGCATTTTATGTATCTTTAAATATCTCTTTAATCTCTCCACTTCCTATGTGATACGTGTGAAAGATTAGGAAAATTAGAAGAACTAAAAAAAAAAAATAGAAAAAATTAAACTATACTATAATATATCAGATTATGAAAATAAAATAAGAAAAAAGAAGGCAGATATTGTGTCAGTAGAAATATATTCCCAAGTTTAAGTCTTCAGTGTATTACAGTATATATTTAAAATCTATTTACATTAATTAATTCTCTCTTCAGTGTCACACGTGAATTATGAAGACAAATAAGAAACAATATAATTTCGTAATCTAAAGAAAATACGTGGATTAGATGATGAAAATAATTCTAATTAAAAATAGAATACTGTGAATAGGTAATGATGATGTTAATTGTGATGGTGATAATGATAATGATGATAATTCTAGTGATCGTTATGATAATGATGTTCATAACTGTAATGATGACGATGATGTTATTAATAATGGTGTTGATAATTGTAATGGTGAAAAAGATAATTATTGTGATAATGATGAAAAGGATAGTGACGGTGATGATGATAATACCAATGAATAGCAATACTAATAATACTAACAACGATAGCAATATCAGCTGCTCTTGTTAATGCACTAACAATGAAGAGTATCATAATACTTATGGTAATGATAATTATGATAATGATAATAATGATGATGATGATGACAATGGTAATAATAATTATGATAATGATAATAATAGTGATGATATGATATATTATATGATAATATATAATAATATTTATGATGATGAGAATAATGATAATAATGATGATGATGATGACAATGGTAATAATAATTATGATAATGATAATAATGATGATGATGATGACAATGGTAATAATAATTATGATAATGATAATAATGATGATGATGATGACAATGGTAATAATAATTATGATAATGATAATAATGATGATGATGATGACAATGGTAATAATAATTATGATAATGATAATAATAGTGATGATATGATATATTATATGATAATATATAATAATATTTATGATGATGAGAATAATGATAATAATGATGATGATGATGACAATGGTAATAATAATTATGATAATGATAATAATAGTGATGATATGATATATTATATGATAATATATAATAATATTTATATGATCATAGACAATGAATAGCAATACTAATAATACTAGCAACGATAGCAATATCAGCTGCTCTTGTTAATGCACTAACAATGAAGATTATCATAATACTTATGGTAATGATAATGATAATAATAGTGATGATATGATATATTATATGATAATATATAATAATATTTATGATGATGAGAATAATGATAATAATGATGATGATGATGACAATGGTAATAATAATTATGATAATGATAATAATGATGGTAATGATGATGATATCAATGATAATGATAATAATGTAATAATAGGAACAACGATAATAACAACAACAATAACTAGAAAAGCACTCAGAGAGTGCAGACCTCCGCCAAGGTGCGTATATAATGTACTTACACCGCTGCTGCGTCCAGACGGTAATTCGGAGTCACCAAAATTTAATCAGCACTTTTTGAGCTACGCTGCTAACAAACCAACAAACCAACAAACCAATGCCGTCAAAAACATAACCTCCTTGGCGGAGGTAACAATAACAATAAAATGGGAGATAGTGGCACACGTTTACCGTAGATTTGTGTGCCGAACTTGGATAGTAAATTTATTGATTAAATAATGATAATAATAATAATAACCAGACGATAATTCGGAATGTCACCAAAATTTAATCAGTTCTAAGTTAGTCCCTTTCTGACTTGTCCCCAAAAATTCGATGAAATCCGGCCAGCACTTTTTGAGCTACGCTGCTAACACACAAACCAACGCCGTCAAAAACATAACCTCCTTGGCGGAGGTAATAATTATGATGATGATGATGACAATAACAATAATAAAATGATATCAATAATAAAGATCAATCAACAGATACGGAAAGGAGAAAGACAACAATAACATCAACAAAAATGAAAATAAACTAAGATAATGAAAAATAAAAGAATAAATGAATATCACATTATCAAATCAAAGGGATCAAATCTGATAATTAACGAAATATAGATAAAGTGTAATAATAGAAAAGAGAATAAGTGTATAAAAAGAAAAGGTTATAGACGCAAGAACACAAAGGATATTAACAAGTCTATAAAAAAAAACGTAAAAGGGATTGGAAAGCAAATACATCTAAAATAACGCAAAGGAAATTAATAAGTAAATAAATGCATCTAAAGACATCCAAAGAAATACATCTAAAATATTTTAAAATACATCTAAAATAGCAAATGCAAAATAAATACATCTAAAATATTTTAAAATACATCTAAAATAGCAAATGCAAAATAGATACATCTAAAATACATCAAAACATATCTAAAAAAAATAAATACATCTAAAATATATCTCAACGCATCTAAAAAAAATTAAAACACATCTAAAATAGCAAATGCAAAATAAATACATCTAAAATATTTTAAAATACATCTAAAATAGCAATAAATACATCTAAAATACATCTAAAATATATTAAAATACATCTAAAATATTTTAAAATACATCTAAAATAACAAATGCCTTTAAAATAACGCCTATAAGTCTATAAACACCGTAAAAGGGATTGAAAAGCATACACATCGGACTGGATACTTTCTAAATACAATAAGGGAATTTAAAACGAAGTATAGATCAGTATAAACAATAAAGCATCATTTAATGATACAATAAAATAAGTGAATAAAACATATTAATAGATTATGTTAAAATAAACAATAGAAAATTAAGAAAAAAGAGATAGATAAACAGATAGATAATTAAACAATTAGAGGAAAGAGATAGATAGATAGATAATCAAAGAATCATTTCATTTCATTTCATTTTATTTTATCTTTTTTCATTTCATTTCATTTCATTTCATTTCATTTTATCTTTTTTATTTCATTTAATTTCATTTCATTTTATTTTATCTTTTTTATTTCATTTCATTTCATCTTATCTTTATTTTATCTTATCTTTATATTTTATTTCTTTTCTTGCCTTCTTTCTTTTCCTTTCGTTTCTCTTCCTTTCTTTCTTTCTTTCCTTGTTTTATTTTATTTTCATTTCTTTTTTTTCTTTTTTTTCTTTTTTTTCTTTCTCTGTTTTTTATCAAGTGTTATGTTTGTTTGTTCGTTTATTTCTCGCCTTCTTTCTTTTTCTTCTTCTCCCTCCTTTTTCTTCTTCTTCTTCTCCTCTTTCTTCTTATTATTTTTTTCTTCTTCTTTTTTCTCTTCTTCTTCTTTCTCTTCTTCTTCTTCTCCTTCCTCTTCCTCTCCTTCTTTTTCTTTTTCTTCTTCTTCTTCTTCTTCTTCTTCTTCTTCTTCTTCTTCTTCTTCTTCTTCTTCTTTTTCTTTTTCTTTTTCTTTTTCTTTTTCTTTTTCTTTTTCTTTTTCTTTTTCTTTTTCTTTTTCTTTTTCTTCTTTTTCTTTTTCTTTTTCTTTTTCTTTTTCTTTTTCTTTTTCTTTTTCTTTTTCTTTTTCTTTTTCTTTTTCTTCTTCTTCTTTTTCTTTTTCTTTTTCTTTTTCTTTTCTTCTTCTTCTTCTTCTTCTTCTTTTCTTCTACTTTCTCTTATTATTATTATTATTTCTCTTCTTCTTCTTCTTCTTCTTCTTTCTCTTCTTCTTCTCCTTCCTTTCCTCTTCTTCTTCTTCTCCTCCTCCTCCTCCTCCTCCTCCTTTCTTCCATCTTCCACTTCCTCTCCTTCTTCTTCTTCTTCTTCTTCTTCTTCTCCTCCTCCTCCTCCTCCTCCTCCTCCTCCTCCTCCTCCTCCTCCTCCTCCTTTCTCCCTTTGAGGTCTTTGATATCACAATAATACGAGGGATGATAAAGATCATACCAGGCACAATGGGTGGAGATAGCGATGGTTAGCGATTTTTCTTCTTCAAAAAAACATTAATGGAAAAAAAAATACCAAACATTTCTACAAAACATTTTGCATAACATTTCAACAAACTGTTTTACAAAATATTTCAACAAGACATTTTTACAGAACATTCCTACAGTACATCTTAAAAAAAAAAAAAAAAAAAAAAAAAAATCTCTTTCTTACAAAACATTTCTAAAAAAAAAAAAAAAAATTACGATTTTTTGTTTCTTTTCTACAAAACAATCTGGCTTTATTGTCTGGTTATTGTTCAGTAGTGAAGTATTTTAACTCGTGCAGAGAATGTTGACAGCAAGTTCAAAAACGGTATAAGATCAGGATGAAAGTACTACAATATTTTTTTTCTCTTTATCTATCTATATATTTTTTCTTAATATCTCTCTATCTATCTATATGTCTATCTGCCTGTCTATCTATCTACCTATCTATCTATCTCGCTATCTATCTATCTGTCTATCTATTTATCTACCTACCTACCTATCTATCTATTGATCCATCTCTCTCTCTCTCTCTCTCTCTATCTATCTATCTATCTATCTATCTATCTATCTATCTATCTATCTGTCTCTATGTCTCTATCTCTCTCTCTCCATCTATCTGTCTTTCTATCTCTATTTCTCTCCCTCTCTGTCTCTTTCTCTCTATCTATCTACCTATCTATTTATCTTATAATTATAATAATTATTAATTATCCATCTATTTCGCTTTGTTCTTCTTTCGCTCTCTCTCTCT